TTTCTTCCTGTTCTGCATTTGATATTTAATTTTTTTTAAAAAATATTTTGTCTGGTACTAGGAATCAAACTCAGGACCTTTCACTTGCCATGCAGGTGTGGGGCACTGAGCTAAATTCCCAGCACTTAAATTTTCTAATTTAAAGCATGCACTGTGAAATCTTTCTGTGCTATTCATGTCACATAAAATAAAAATACTAAAGTTTTGATTTTTTATAATACCTGTATATTCATGAATGTGAAACCATGACTAATACTTCTGAGAAATATTCCTGATACTACAAGTGACAATGTCCATACACCATCACAGCCACTGGGTGCTGGAATAAAACCGTAACAGTATAATTCAATATTGAGTCATTTTGTCCTCATCTGAGACTTTATTTTCTGCTTATTCACATCCCATGGGGACAGAGGTGTTGCTTATATACAGAGAAAATTGCGTGTTCAAAGGTTAGAGTGAGCAACTATGACAATACAGGTGAAGAGCGAAGGTTGAATGACAGGAGTTAGGGAGGATGGGAGAGAAGTGTGGATCACAGCTAGAAAGGCAGAGGGGTGACTGCAAATGCCCTTGTGTAATAGCCTCTGAACTATGATATGCTGCTAGCGAGTATGTTCTTAAAATAACAGAGAATTTTGCTCAACAGAAAAAATAAGATCAGATTTGTATGTCAATGACGTCATTGTGTCACTTCACTACACACCTGAGGTGGACGCATGCTCAACTGTTTGACTTGGGCATATGATCAAGGTGTGCAATCTTTGTTAATTTCAATGTTAAAGTGTCAAATCCAAGAAAAACTTATGTAGCGAAAGTACGGAAAGAGAGCTTGTACTGCGCAAATACTAGTTTTGCATTGAGCACTGGATGCCAGTTTTAAGTGTATTTCAAATGTGAACATTAAAACATAGATGAGATTTCTTGTAAAATAAATTCTTTATTAATCTGTTAACTCATGAAGCCTGGTATTTGCTTAAATAAGTTCCTCCTCAACATATCCTTATCAGAAATTTTATTTTATTAACACACTGAAAAGTAAATGTTTTCATTGTCCTTTGTATATCAGTGGAACATTATGAATAGATTTTCATTTTTTATATTTTAGCATTTCCCCTTGATATCAGGTAATGATGTTGAGCATTGCAAATGATGAGTAATAGAATATATATTTATTAATTATATGTGAGATGATTATGTTCTGACCCCCAGCACAAGCCCTAGCCCACATATAATAATCCTCTTTATTTTTTAATAGAATGTAGTTGAATAGTGTAGGAGGCAATAAAAATGTAAGAGAAAGGTAACTTTTATGCCATTATATCTGGAATAGTTTTAAATTCTTATTTTCTGGAATACTTATTTGTAGTGCTTCCTTTCACACTAAAGGATTATTTTTTAAATTTGTAAATAATTACCTTTTTAATACATATCTGTAATAATGTTCTTCTACTCTTTGGCTGCTATTATTTTTTTCTAGATCCCAAAACATTTCATTGCATGTGTCAAGGCTTACTTATCTGCACACCAATTACTCACTGGACGCGGAAGAATGAATAGACCTCTGCTTTTATGAGGTTGCATTGTTGTAAAACTAAAATCACAGCAAAACTAAACAAGCTTTGTTCATTATGCACCAATGTCCCTTGTGAGTCTCTTAAAATACTAATTAATTTCATAAGTTATCTACTGTTCCTAAGAACATATTTTGATCTGCAAGAAATTATACACCCATCCTTGAACACCATGGGCAATGACAAATGACAGTGTAATATCCGGCTCTGCTAAACTTGTTTCTTTGATGTTGGCAACAAAGCTCATTTTTGTGTCTTTATAAAAATGATGAAAATAAGCTGTACCTTGCAGGATTATTGTGAGAAATAAATGCATTTAAAATTCATATATGTGAAATCCATATAGTCGCCCAAGGCTCCATGGTAAAAAAGGCCTCCATGCTTGGTATAATGCTCTGTTTGGTCTCTTGAAATTCTGAAAACTTCTCCAACAAGTGGCAGTGAGTTTTGATTTTGCACTGGGGTCCACAGCTTACATAACTAGTCCAAATGCAACAAGAAAGATGCTAATTCAATCCAAATATTTCCTTAATCCTTCAGAATAATTTTACTTTACCAAGTCCAAAATGCCTTTTGGCCAACGCAAACCAATTTAAATTATAAAGCAGGCTATTTTTAAAATATAAAAGAAGCTATCTTTAAAATAAAAGGTAATCGTCCTTTAAATTACACAGTACAAACCCAATAATGTTTATGGCAGAAGACATTTACTAGTAATGTAATTGTCAAGAACTTAATAAATTACTACTATATTTTAAAAGGTAGTTGAAGTGATTTATGATTTGGATTTTTGAAGATCTGTGTCTTGCTCAATTTATGCAGGTTGCTAAAATAATTATAATATCATAAATAATTCCCTAGAATTAGAAAGAATCCTTTGTCTTTTCACAGATAAATGCATTTCTACATCTGGAAAGACTTTTTCATCTTGAGAACAATTTAAATATCCCAGTCTTCTTTTTTGAAATTTTTCTAGTATATGTGACATGATGTCACCATTAGTATTTATACTTACAACATTCATAATGATAATTTTAATGTATTGAGCTCTTATGTGCCAGGATGGAATAAATCTTCAACATGCATTGTCTACCTAGTTTCTATTCTATCTTCTCTGTATCTGTCTCTGTGTCTTTCCCCTCTCTCTCTCTCTCTCTCTCTCTCTCTCTCTTTCTCTCTCTCTCACACACACACACATACACATGCATACATACCTACAAGCACACACACAAAATTCCCAGGGTATTAGTTCCATTTGCAATAGTAATGATATTGAAGCTTTGATTTACAGAGCCATACAACTCAGAAGAAATGGAGCTCAATTTTGAAACTGTCTCCAAAGTTTTAAAAGCCCTCACTCGATCTATGGATCAATATTTTCAACTAGGAGCATATTTTTAGAGCTCCATGATTCTATAAAATAATTTAGTTTAGGTTTTTTCTAAATAATCTGATAAAAATATATGTGCATTCTAGATCATCTCTGTGATCTGGATACATCTGTCTTCATACACCCACAAGCATACCCTGATCCTAATAAACTAATGGGAAGAAATCCGACAGGTTAAAACATGAATAATTCCCACTATGTGAAGGACACATAGTGTCATGCACTAGCATTTGGCAGGTAGGAGGAACTTGGAGAGAAAGAATTGAGTCATTCTATAACATGGTGTAATTTAAAAAGTAGTGGACTCTAAAAGCCTGCACTCCAGTAGCTGTTTTCTGAAATACTTTGCCAAAGGTGATTTAATTTCAGGAAAATAAAATCTTCTGTCACATTGGATCCCTTTGCTATTTTTAACTTTTATTTTGTCTTTTAGCTCCTCTGTAAAATTGTTTTGGTTTATGATTGTATGCAACTCAAAGAATAAAGATATCTCTGTTTTTATTTGAATACGTGTAAATAATGTTACAATAAAATACAATTTAAAACTGGAAAGTCTGTGGGTTCTCTTTTTTCTTTTAGTTTAAAAGGGATTGGGAGAAACACTGTACTGGGAGGTATTTTTTCATGTGACTTGTTGGTGATTAGCGTCGCGCCATTAGTTTTTGTTATTATTTCACACATTTTTGATAGAATAGCCACTGCATCTTCTTGGTCATTTCATTTCCTCATTAGGCTTTTATCTTTGGCCTTATTTTTTTTAATGTTTGAGGATTGAAAAAGGTAGAGCAGTTCACTGATGTTTAACACGTTGTCTTCATCTTATGATTGTTCCCACAAATCATTATTTTTAGGTTTTATTTCTGGAATGTAATGTCTTGGTTTTTTTTCTTTTTAGTTAAACCTTTGAAAATATGAATCTTCCTGCTCTATAGTTTGGTAATGAAGCAAGTAATTAGAATATTTTTTAAAATCAGTAAATTGAATTTCTGAACATATTTCATAATTATAAGGACTTATTGTTTGATTTTTGTAATATTGCCTCAAGGTTTTTCAATTATTTGTTTTGTTTTTATTTTTTTGGTACTGGGGATCGAACTTGGGTCCTTGCACTTGTGCAGCAGGTGACTAAACCACTGAGCTAAATCCCCAGCCCAAGGTTTTTCAATTATAATAAAACTATATTTATTGAGAAATTTCAAGTTTTCCTAAGTGTTTAAATGCTTCCTCAAATTTTGCACAATTAGTCTTCAGAGTTAGTAGGATCATATACATTATTATTAGTAAGTTTTAACCCAGTCTATGTTTAAACTGAGAAAAGTAATACAGTTTCCCAGATGCCCAATTTATTATCCTTATCGGTTGCTGGATTTTTACCATTGCAATGACAATGTTGTATTTAGTTTTCTTTATGTTCTTAATGCTCTTGGATGAGGGAAATGCTGAATATTAGAAGAACAAATGGTCAAAATAATTTTAAAGGTAAAAATAAAATCAAATTAGAATAATCTTAAGACAAAATTCATGTCTATATTTTGTTTCACATGTAAAAGAATTAGTTTACAAATTTAAATGTATCAGAGAAATCTATAAACTCAAAATACTTCCTGAAAATTTTTTTGTTCTCATTCTTTCCTATGCTATCCTGTCATTCAAGGGGAAATTGTAATACTTTGTAAAATATATTATATATTTGATTTCATAAACATATGTCATCTCCATGGGCAGTAGTCTCTTCTTGCCATGTATTATTTTATTTATTTTATTTTATTTTACTTTATTTTATTTTATTTTGGTACTGTGATCGAGCTTGGGACCTTGCACTTGTGAGGCAGCCAGCCGTACCATGAGCTAGATCCTCGCCCCTACATGTATTATTTTAGATAAGAATAAATCATCTAAACCACACAGACATTCTGTCCATTATTTTTCTATTGAGCATAGGTAAAACAATGCATTTACACTTCCATACATAAAATTGTATGAAAATAATATTGCCTTCTATTAAACAATACTTCAATATTCTGTTTTACTTGCAGCTGAATGTGGTGCATCTGCAACAAATAATGAAGGAATTTTGCTTTCTCCAAATTATCCACTCAACTACGAAAACAACCATGAGTGCATTTATAGCATTCAGGTTCAAGCAGGAAAAGGAATCAACATCTCAGCCAGAACATTTCATTTAGCACAAGGAGATGTCCTTAAGGTAGGTAAACTTAGACATATTTATATTCTGATTATTTTAATCATTACATACACATAATAAATTTACATACATGTATATATGTATAAATAATAAACCATAATTGCATTTGACTTTTATACATTACATTGTATATTATACAGGAATTCCTACAGTACTATTATTACTTTCATAGAAATAGAATGTTTTGTTTCTAATGTTTGTAGTAGGAAAAGGTAAATTTTTTGTAATTTTTAACTTTTCCTATTTCAGTAACACCAAAATATGAAATTTTTTACACACAATTTCTCATTTAGGAAGTGTTATATATAAAACATAGTTAACATACAAAGACATTTATTTAAGAAACATAATGAAGATTTGTTTTGATTTTGATGTCTATGCAGTAACATAATTATCTCTATTGATATATCAAGAATTATTTGCATTTGAGACTGGACATCAATTTTGTGACTATGTAAGCCTAAGAAATCAATGTCTATAAATTTAGA